TCAGAAAACTGGTCAGAAGCTTTCCTTGTATCGTTACCGAATGCATACACATTTTCCTGGGCTCACAGGAAAGCAATGTTACGGTGTGTTTGCGAGAACTGTGTGTGGGTTAATGCCCCTTGCTCCACAGGCATTGGAGCACCTACCACTCGCCAGGCAGAGTCTACAGAACCTTTATATATATATCATATATATAATACTATAGAATAGTATTCTATAATATATAATAGAATAATCCTATTCTCTTGTTTTTACAAATGAGAGAATCAAACTTCCAAAAAGCATCAGGACCTTGGCCCTAAGGCGAGATACGTGGTGAGAGGTGGTGTCAAGACTCGAACCGACACTATTTCCAACCCTCCTTCCTGCGTCCCGATGCTGGACCGTTATGTTTTTCATGCACTCAGAGTTGCTATTTGGGAAGGACAGCATGTTACAGTGCAAGGGGCATAGTCTTAAGTTCAAGTTCCATGACACAACCATGACACACAGGTTGTGTATGGTTTCCTGGATTTTTTAATGGGCCAATCACTCCCACCTTGCTGAATTATTACAGCAACTAAAGAAGAAGCAGGCAAAGGCCCTATGACACAACGGCCAGTGCACGGTAAGGTCAACTGTACTGACAGTCATGAGTATCCTTCAATAACGGGGGCATTAAGCAACATTAACAGCTTCTCCCTGGAAAAACAACCGAAAGCTACCAAGACAGAAAGATGCTAACATCTACGGGGTTCCCCACTGGGGTCAAGCATTGATACCCAAATACTCCTTCCTCGATCACGTGGACATCTTGTGATAACCTGCAACCAGATTCTTCACAACTGATCTAAAAGTTCACGCCTTTCATCTACATGAACAGGAATCATTATTTTCTGGATATATGAGGTGGTGTCTTTCACCTCATGTTTAATGTTTTTTTGTTTTTTTGTTTTTTTTTTAATTTGCCTTTCCGGGACCTATTTACATCAGGATTATGCCGGACTCTCCGAGGAAGCTGGAATTAGCGCCAGAGACCGCTGGGAGAAAAGGCTGCTGCTGCTGCTAAGGCCCCTCTCAAGCAGACCACATGGATGTTTAAAAACCAGAGACAGGAGGCTAGAAAAATAAGGAAATCGGAGCTTCCCAGAAAAAGAAGAAGAAGAAGAAGAAAAAAACTTCCCTTTTTCTCTGCAGCCCAGGGGGCAGACACGGGCTCTTGCTCTGATAAGGCAAACTAAAGCAAGTTTCTCTTTTCTATGAACAGGACAAAATGTGAAAAGCCAGCAGGAATCCAGCTGACCGGCGGGCGGCCTTTCCCTTTTAGATTACTCATAGCAGGTTACTGGGCTCAGCCTCCCTGCTGACTGTCCTGTTCCCCTACCTGCAGAGGCCTCAGCTGACATCAAGCTGTTCATGCAACACTCTCTCTCTCTCTCTCTCTCTCTCTCTCTCGACGGGGCTCTAGGGCCACTTTGTGTGTCCTCCTTGGGCGACATCTGTCAGATCCGCCACCCCAGCCGCCTCTCCTTCAAGCCCCAGCTCAGTCTAATTTCCTCCTTTCTTGGATTCATGGGCAAAGACCTAACAACTCTATGTATCCACCATCAAATGTTTACAGAGCACCCACCATGGCCCATGCACAGGCTCCATGGTATAAGGACATACATGCTCTGTCCTCAAAAACTCATAGCTTAGGCATGGGACAGACAGGTAATTAGGTCATCATAGTACAGTGAGATCAGCGCTGCGGTATATGCAGGGAGGTAGGGGTAGAAGGAGGAAATGCAGAGGAAGAATGGGTCTTAGTAGAACGTGGAGGAGGGAGATCTAGCTTCCTCTTGGTGAGGTAAGGAGCTGGTCAAGGTAGGTTTCCTGGAATTGATAATTATTATATAAGCCGCTGGTTAAACAAAATAAAGAAGTGCTCCTCAGAGCATAGGGCCAAGAGGTGACCATTGCTGTAAATGGTCAGTAAATGCTGTAAACTGGTCATTTTGCAAAGGATCAGTCGTTTACAAAAGCCTTGTGGTCTGGGTAATAGCAGCGAGCAGCCAGAGTCCCTTACTCTTCAGCACAAACACCTTCCACTGGACAAAGGAATTCGATTCACACACCCCAGGCTCTCCCTTCAAGGGCTTCCCTAGGAGGAAGTACGGTTTGGAAAGCCTGAGAGTTCTAAGGATGCAGGAGCCTTTGTGGCCTGAGTTCGGTGTCTATTCCCTAATGTCTGGTTGCAGATTAATGGACTATTTGTGACCATGTAATAAACAGAAAAGGCTTGGCATACAAAGGTATCCCAGTATCTAGGTTCAGCCTGACATTGAAGTGGGTTACTTCAGAGGCTCAAGGTGGAATCAGGTTTTCTAGATCAGTCCCCGGACAACCTCTCCAAGCCGCTGATGCCTGTGTCAGAGCATCCCATAGGCAAACCGTGCTCACCTGCCCATGGGCCCGCTAGCCAAGAGTGAGTCACCCTGAGGATCGTGACTATTGACACAGATGGTGCTGGGCAGCTGCGAAGAACATGCAATTGCATTAAGTTTTATAGGAAGAACAGCTAGTTGGTATTTCCTGGGTAATGGTAATAGGCACCCAAACTTGCCCAAGTCATCCCTTTTAAAAATGTTTATGAAATGCCTGTTGTGTGGCTAACACCTTGTTCGTTTTCCCTTCTGGCACTCATGTTACTTTTCAGGCGATCGAGAGCCTTGTCTGTCACTCTACCCTCTTCCCCAGAAGTCAATTTCTCAAGCAGGAGAATGGACAAAAGATCGTCAAAAAAAAATAGGCTATTCTTATGTGTAAGTAGACAATGAAGCCAGTATTAGGAGACCATGTGGCTGGACCTGGGGTTGGACCAAAGTGAAGGATTGCTAAGATTTTTTCTGGCTCTGACTTTCCGTGAGTCTAAATTGTCCTCATTCTTTTATCTGGTTTGATTTGAGACTACCAGTTTTGTGAGCTGGTTGGCTTATAGCCTGAAACTCTGTACAGAATTTTTCTCCATGCAAAGCTAATGACCCAAAGAATAAATGAAGAGAATATTCTGGCCACTCATTGTCCCTCGTAGCCACCTTATCAGAGCAGAGCTGAAATTCCCTCACAGAAAGTAGACATTTTACTCTAAGACCGCAGACACACGGTGCCAAATAATCAAGTGAGATTGAACATTCCAAGTCAACACCTAAATTCTTCCTCAGCACTGGCACTCAGTATCTCAAAGAAGTGCATGGACTTTGAGTTTGGACTGGAGCTAAGTTCACCACCATTCTTGGGAACCATGTTTCCCCCTTAACTGTCCGATCAAAAAGAAACGGCACACATTTTAGAAGCTTTGGAAATGCTGCTCCTTCTAAACGATGATCTTAGTCAAAGGGCCCCTTCAGTTGCTATAAAACCCCCTAACCAGAAAAGGTGCTGTTTGCAGATTAGTACCAGGGCTCCCCTGGACAGAAAGTTTCACCAGATGCTCTGTGGTCCCAGCCAGTCATTTACAAAAGCGCTAGATGGGTATGGTCACTGAGTATGGCCGGGCCGCTGGTTACTATAGTCTGAACTGTACTGAGCATGGTTCTACTGTAACCCAAGTCACTGCTGTCCCTCAGCTACCCCCTGGCTGCTGTCCCTCTGCAGGAGGAAGCCACTGAAGAGTAGCACAGATGCCAGGAGTATCTAATAGAAGGCATCCCAAAATAAACTGAGCTGGTCCGAGGGAGTCTGGACAGAGACTAAGCCACTGGGCAGAGGGGAGCTACCCTTTACTCTTGATGAGATCCAGGTTTGAAGTCGGCATCTCTGAGAACACTTTAGGTAGAATAAAGTAATGGGTGGCATGGGGCTCATTCGATTTCAACATTCACAAATCCCTGCTGGTTCCCGAGCCTGGCTCTGCTCTCACAGGAAGCCCTCCGGCTGACCATCATATATTGATTCTGGACAAGTCAGCGTCTAGATCCCAGGATGTGTCTTCTTGCCCATGGGCAGGAACTGCTGAGGAAGTCACCTTCAAGGGGACTCCGCTTACTAGTTGTATTTGCAGAATTTCTTCATGGAATTGCAAATGCGCACACACACACACAGACACACACAGACACACACAGACACACACACACACAATTTTCCTCTGTCATCAATCCACTGCAAGAGATCACCGTTATTAATCCGACCTGACCACCAGGTAAATCATTTCCACACTTCTTTGCATTTGAGTTTGTCGCTAGTTACCTGGGAGCTCAGCGTGTTTTCCTACTTCTCTGCCTCCCTCCCGTCTTCCCTCCCAGGGAGGTTAAGAAAATAAAGATAATAACGGCAAAAATCTGGAAAGCCCTGATAGGCATCGCGCAGAGCACCTTAGGAAGCAAAACCATTCATTTTATTCTCCCCCGCCGTAATTGCAAAGTCCTTAAAGAGGACCGCACACTTGCACACTGGGCCAAAACTGACCAGTGGAGATGGAGGCTGGGGATGTGTGGAGGGAGATCAGAGGCCTTCTCTTTCCCAACACTTTCCACCTACTTAATTCTGCTCTGAGGCGAGTCCTGTGCCTCACTCCCCCATTCCCAGCCTCAGCTTCTTAACAGGCTCACCGAGGGGTGGGGGCGGCAGCCAGACACTGTGGACCCTCCAGGCTCTGCTAGCCACAAATCCCGAAGGCAGCTGATGGCACTTTTTTTGCCCGTTATTCATGAGGGGATCCCATTGTCTCTTCAGAGCATTTGTCTCTAATTCTTTGTACTTTCTCTTTTACTCTGCTGAAATTTTTCTCCAAGAAATAATCCCTCCTATTCTCTCTTCCCCGAACGCCCTCGCTCCTCCAAAAGGCTTCAGCCCATCCCAATGAAATGCAGCTACGAAAAGCAGGCTCCCTTGGGACTCGGATTCTTGCTAATCCGCTTTTTGCCTGAATTACAAAGTCAGTCCCTCATTAAGGCATTCTTCTATTGGCGCCGTTTGCCAGAAAGATTTTTAAGAGAGGCAGGAGGACATGGACGGACAGAGAGGCGCAGAATTCAACTTACCGTCCCTGCTTGCCTTCCTTCCCTCCCTCCAAGACAGCTTTCTCTTCAGCCCTGGGCTCTTGCAGGACCTCAGCTCCAATCTCCCTGCACGGCTCTGGCCTGCTTTAAATTTCAAGGCAGGGGGTGGGGTCAGTGGCCCTGGGTGGGCGGGTTTCTCTGTAGCAGGAGGATGCCCAGTGGACAGGGCCAGGAGGGAGCCCAACAGGGCGGGCCTGTTTTTGTAAAGAGGGGGAGGAAGTTTCTGATGGAAGCAGCGCAGCCCGACCTGGCTTAGGGCCAGCCTGATTATTCACAATCCTGATGTCATCGAATCGCAGGAATTTGGGAGTTGGACGGAACATTAACAATCATCTTCCTTGAAGGCCCTGGTCTATGACCTAAATGAGACCCCCAGGATCAGCTGGCTGTAAGCTTATCATGGAAAGAGGAATTTACAGTTCTAAACAAATGCACCCAGAGGAGGCCCAAGGGCTTCTTCTGGAATCTCCAGCAGTAAATCTGCCCCTCGAGACACAAGAGGGTAGAAGGAAGGACAGGAAGGACGGGACACAAGCGTTTGGAAGAAAGGACGGGACAGGTGGACCAGTTCCCTCCAGGCATAGAAGGGCTGGGGAGAGGGGCGTTGGGCCACTTGGGGCATGGGGTGGGGGTTGATAAAGGTGGGCAGGGCTCCTCTGCTGTGGAAAGTACCCCGGCCTGGAATCTGGACCCTGCCACCAGCCCTGCCACTCCCCCGCCCTACAATCATGGAGAAAATCATTTCACTTCTCTCTCAAAGATGGCTGAGGACTTCTCGGCTCCAGCATTCCCTGGGTGGGGCTGTGGAATAAAGGCAGGGGGTCCCTGAGCCAATGCTCTGTCTAAACTCTTTCTCTGCACAGCCTTGCAGGCAATTCCAACGTTGGCTCTCCATCCCTTAGACTGAGGGAGACTTTCCCCTGTTCTGGAGTTTGCTCTTAAATGTAAATGCTCCTGGAAATGCACAACCTGTTTGACCTGTTAGAACCCCCGCAGATGACTGATAAGGAAAAGGAGCAGGCTTGAATCAGCGGTACCAGTAATGAGGGATGTGACCTGAGCCAGGGCTTTCTAGATCGTGCTGAGCTAGCGCATCGGAGGTGCCGTGCGTGGACTAGAGCAGGGCCCCAGACACCAGCTCCCCGGTGTATCTCAGGCCTCGAGATGGGGCATCTGTGGTGTTGGTTGATGTCTGGCCTAGACAAGGCAGTGTGAGAGAAAGAAGGAAGAGATGCCAGGAGAGGGATCAGAAGGCTGAGGTGGGCAGCAGAAATTGAGGGAGGACCGGTCTTGTAGGAGAGGCCAGATTTCCAAAGATTCTGAAGAGAGGTGAGATGAGAGCTGACTTTGAGGTGGGGAAGTAAGGGAGGCGTGTCCAAAGTCAAACTGTGTTTCCATATTTTTATCTAGCTGTGGCTTCTCCAATGAGAAGGAGAACTTGTGTGTGTGTGACTTCTCTACAGAGAAGGAGAACCACGGGGGGGAGCAGGGGTGTCAAGTTAGCTGCAAGCATTAGAGCTAGGACATCAGATAAGAGAGTGGCTCTGTCCTACTTCCCTGTAATATTGGTTGCCGTGATAAGGGCCAGAGGCCTTTTCTGCCCTTTATGTTTCGGCAGGGAAGGAGGGGGTCTTTCATCTGAACTCCTGTGGGGGCTGATTTGCTCCTGAACAATTACATTTAAATCCTTAGATCACACAGAGATTGGAGTCTGGGTTTTGGCTCCTAAAGCTTGAGCAGTGGAGTAGGGTCTGTATACCGCGATGTATGTTACATGGTGTATATTACAGGGTGTGATCCAGGGGCAGACAGGGAGAGTCCTTTCCTACCACTTGTCAGGATACCTACAATTCCACCTTTAGAAATGCATTCCGGTAGGTTTTTAGCCCCCAGTTAAAATGCTAATTTAATCACGGCCTTCAAAGTAGTCTCCAGGGGGTTAGAGCTGTCTGTTGGCCTCCAGGGAACTGCAGGCCTGAGGTCTTGAGGGAGAGAGGGGTACACCAAGAGGGACCAGGAGATTAAGAGGAGGGGTTTCAGGTCACCAAGAGGTACCCTGCAGCTCTGCTACAATACACCTAAATGACTCAGACCAGATTATACCTCCCTAGGAACCTAGGAACTGGGGCCTTTGTGTTCCTATGAAAAAAGAGATTATTTTTCTTCAGGGAAACCTGAGCAGGAGGAGGTACAATGACAATGGGGGCCTTGATTCTAGTCAAGGGATTGCTGCGGAGGAGGGAAAAAGAAAAAAGAAATCTTGGTGAAATCACATCCTGGGAAAATTTTATCCAAGCCCTTTGCTTTCAAGGAAGAGAAGTTAAGACGCAGGCCCAAGTAACACGGAGACAAAATGGGCTCAGGGAAACCGGAAGGAAATATTGCTATAGCGCTTTCCCAGGCTGGCCTAATTTCTTGGCGGCCCCCATCCCTTGAAGATTGTGTGAGTCACAAGTGGGGACCCCTTATCACGGGAGTGGGTGCAGGGATGGCGCATGAGAACAAGGATGGCACTGAGACCCCAGCGGTCTAAGAAATGATGTGATGTCTGTGGAAAGTCCAAGAAAAGAGAAATGGGCAAGAGCCTTAGAACAAGATGGTTTGGGACCAGAAGACAAAAATTTTATGTATAACCTAGGGAGATTTAATTTTGTTAGCCATCAGGGTGGTTTTTTTAATATCTTATTTTTTATTTATTTGAGAGAGAGAGAGAGAGAACACAAGCAGAGGCAGAGGGAGAAGGAGAAGCAGACTCCCCGTCGAGCAGGGAGCCCGATATGGGGCTCAATCCCAGGACCGTGAGATCAGGACCGGAGCTGAAGGCAGACACTTAACTGACTGAGCCTCGCAGGCGCCCCAGCCATCGGGGTTTTTAGGGAGTAGGGTTGATATCATAACAGATGTGAGGTGGTGCTACATGACATTCGTTTTCTGTGCCTTCACCCCAGCTAGAGACTCTCAGATTGCTCAGCCGTACCAGTGACCTGAATTCCATATAGACACCGAGAAACATCGAATAGGCTGAAAGCCTGAGAAGTGTCTGTCTTTCTTTCTTTTTTTTTTTTAAGATTTTATTTATTTTTTTTGACAGAGAGAGAGAGTGTGGAGGCCGAGAAAAATGAGGCCGACCCGCCTTAACTTTAGCCTTAGCACAAGTGCAGCCATCTTAGCTCCAGCAGCCATCTCAGGCCCCTGCGACCAGGGGCTGGACTTTAGTTCCGGGTGAAACCACAAAATGGCCCAAGCGTCAGTTACGAGAAAAACCGCAGAACTCCCTAGTAGTAGCCAACCAGGTATTCTGCATGATAACAGAAACTGGACCTTGAGACACAGGGTCCACACCCCCTACTGGCAATCCCCTAAAATAACATATAAATACCCCTGCTTTAACCGAGCTCGGGGTCCAAGTCCCTACTCCGCTGCGTCGGGTATACTTGGGCCCAACCTCGAGCTTGCTGAATAAACCCTCGTGTGATCGCATCGGTGTTGGCTCCTTGGTGGTCTCTCGGGTACGAAACTTGGGCACAACAAGAGAGAGCACAAGCAGGGGAACAGCAGACAGAGGGAGAATCAGATTCTCCACTGAGCAGGGCGCCAACGCAGGACTCCATCCCAGGACCCCAGGACCATGACCTGACCCGAAGGCAGACACTTAACCAACTGAGCGAGCCACCCAGGCATCCTGAGAAGTACCTTTTTTTTTTTTAATTTTTTAAAAAAGATTTTATGTATTTATTTGACAGACAAAGATCACAAGTAGGCAGAGAGGCAGGCAGAGAGAGGGGGGGAAGCAGACTCCCTGCCCATCAGAGAGCCCAATGCAGGGCTCGATCCCAGGAACCCAGGAGCATGACCTGATCTGAAGGCAGAGGCTTTAACCCACTGAGCCACCCAGGCGTCCTGAGAAGTACCTTTAAATATGGTTGTTTTGTTAAGAATCATTCACGAGGGATGCCTGGGTGGTTCAGTGTGTTGGGCCTCTGCCTTCAGCTCAGGTCATGATCTCAAGGTCCTGGGATCAAGCCCCGCATCGGGCTCTCTGCTCAATGGGGAGCCGGCTTCCCCCTCTCTCTGCCTGCCTATTTGTGATCTCTCTCTCTCTCTGTGAAATAAATAAATAAAATCGTTTTTTAAAAAAAGAATCATTCACGAGATGGTAGTGGAGTTCTTTGTACTATTCTTGCAACTCTTCTATAAGTTTGAAATTATTTCAAAATAAAAAGGTAGGGGCATCTGTGTGGCTCAGTTGTTGAGCGTCTGTCTTTAGCTTGGGTCATGATCCCAGTGTCCTGGGATCGAGCCCCGATTGGGCTCCAGGCTCAGCAGGAAGCCTGCTTCTTCTTCTCCCACTCTCCCTGTTTGCATTCTCTCTCACTATCTCTCCCTCTCTGTCAAATAAATAAATAAAATCTTAAAAATAAATAAAAATAAAAAGATAAAAATTGGGTTATTTTCTTGGGGAAGTAATTCTACTTCTGAATAGGGGTGCCGACCTCCCACCCTGTTAAAAATCCTTGTATACCTTTTGACTCCAACCTCAAAATAGCTACTAATAGCCTACTGTTGACTAGAAGCCTTACCGATAACAATTGATTAACATGTATTTTCTGTGTTATATGTATTATATGCTGTATTCTTTACAATAAAGTCAGCCAGAGAAAAATGTTATTAAGAAAATCATAAGGAGGGGCACCGAAGTGGCTCAATCATTAAGAGTCTGCCTTCAGCTCAGCTCATGATTCCAGGGTCCTGGGTTCAAGTCCTGCATCAGGCTCCCTGATCAGTGGGAGGCCTGCTTCTCCCTCTCCCGCTTCCCCTGCTTGTGTTCCCTCTCTCGCTGTCTCTCTCTCGGTCAAATAAATAAAATCTTAACAAAAAAAATCATAAGGAAGAGAAAAAACATTTACAGTACTGTACTGCATTTTTTAAAAAGTCTGCATATAAGTGGACCCATGCAGTTCAAACCCACGTTGTTTAAGGGTCGATTGTATGTAGCACAAAGAAATAAATTTTTTAAATTCCTCAAGAAGAAAATGTAGGTATAAAACATTATTTTGGCTATCTGAAAACTAAGAATAACCTATGGCCAAAAATAAAGTACTAGTATGTTAGTATAATGCAATATTACATAGCCATTATGATGATTAATAATATAATTACATAGAAAATCAAACCTGATTATAAATTACCCCAAAGAAGTAGAAAACAAATTGTATTATGCACTGTA